GGTATTTGTGTGTGATCTATGTGCAGCTTTTCCCCTCCGTGTGTACTGATGAAGTTAGAACATGCATATACAAAGCAGCCTCTTTTTTTGAAGCAAACTTTACTAGTATTATCAGTTTAGTCTTTGGTAAGCAATTTATAATGTTCAATTACTTCTACAACGTTTAGGGAAAATGTTTGGATACTTAAGAGATCTTTGAATTTATTAGAGAAATTTCTAGTAAAAATTAGTAACAAGGAGCTGAAGCTAGGTACAAACAGTCATCTTTAACCATTTATGTAGTGAGCCTGCTGTGAATTTCTTGAAATCCTAGCTTTTGATACCTTCCTGAAATAAGTGCTCTAGTAAAATAAAAGGTACTGATGCAATTGGGTGAAATGTAATGGGTAAATAATAGGAAGGAGTTGAGATTCGAAGATTTAATGATTCTTCCTGCCTGTACATTCCCTGAGTTTGTACTTAGAAGGTTTGTACTTCAGAAGGTTTGATTTACTTGGCTATGTTCCTTCTCAGCACTTGTGTTTTATTATGTCTGTGAGGAAGCTATGGCTTCAGAAGGAGCTGAAGGATTCTGTTTATATAATGTCTATATTGCAATAGTGCACTTACAGCTAATGTCGGATGAGTGGTCTTACTCTACATCTGTGTCTACATTCTGTGACCCCATGCCTGAAGTCCTCCATAAACCTGATGGAGCCTATTGTCTGCTGGGGATTCTTTTGCTTATGCCTCTGATGGCCTTAGAAAGCCTACACCTTCCACACTTGTTAAACATTTATGTTGAAGTGAGTTTGTGCTATGATGGAATGTGACTGCAGAGGCTCCCAGCAGTGAGGTTATTCTCTCTCTCTCTTCCAACTTTTTTGAGACCATAAGCTAAGTAGATAGCTTGATTAGTTTCCAAAATCAGTCAGCTGCATAGGCCTAGTTACTGGTTGTTCGCAAACAGCTCTGCTTCCGAGAAATTCATTACAAAGTCTGCTGAGTTATGTTGAAGAACTCAATTTAAATTTTTTTTTTTTAAATCTACCTCAACTTTTTTTTTTGGTAGAACTAAGGTTTGAAAGCTCTTTGTTCTTCCTGTGCTTTAGCCAGTTCTCAAGTTCAAGGGCTTAAAGCTAACTTCCCATGGTGCTGTGTGTCCTCAGTCACCCACTGTGGTTAGCTGGGGACTTCTGTGCTCTGCAGTTGGAGCTGTTGCTGACCTCTTTCTTCTTCGTGTCCTCGTGATGTCTAAGAACTAGTGTACTGGTTATGCATCATCAATCTTTCTGTGTTTATCCAAGCTATCCACCTCACTTTTACACTAATACCTGATCTTGTGGAGACCTTGCCTGCCTGTGCGGTGATTTCCATGATTTTTTTTCCCTTATTTGTGGACTCCAGCAGTTACACAGGGTTGCATGCCTCTCTTTGGACAGTGAATTTAATCCTTCTGACAAAAAGCTTCTTGTTAGCTGTGTTTCACAAATCTCTTGGTAATCTTAGTCAGAGACTTTGTAGACTGCCGTACAGGCTTGTCAGTTTTAAGACCTTTTAATGTATCCAACGGTATCAAATCATATTGCTGTAAATACTGAAGCTACATCTATTTGGTTTTGAATCCTAAAATGATTTTTGTGTGCCAAAGTGCTTCTGGAGGTGTGTATGCTCTAGAAAGTGGTATTCCAGTTTTCAGAGAGCACTTTGCTACCTGAAGTCCATACATTGGCCTTAGCTTAATCTCTGTAATGTCTGTGGGGGTTTTGTTATTGCTGTTTGGGGTTTTTTAAGCTCTGAACTACCTCAATAGATGTAAAAATTTCATGGTGGGGGGGAAGGCGGAGAGTTCATTCAAAAGGTGATATGGAGGGGGTTTTACCTATGCTAATAACAGAAGCAAGTGCAAGTTCACAAGTTGGGCAAAAATTTGTAGCGAGAGGAAAGTTCTGAGAAGATTATGTGACTGAGTTGCTGATAGTCCAGTGGGATATTCCTCAAAAAGATCTGTTTACTGACAATACAAGAGCCAGCATTATTGACAAAATTAAAGTATAGTTATGTTTCTTGTGTTGGGCTTCAAAGTTTGTGGACAACACCTAAGTAAGGAAAGGCATGTGAGTGTGTGTGGTTTGGGTTTTATTTGGTGGGTTTGTTGTGTGTCCTGGTTTTCAGCTGGGATAGAGTTACTTTTCACAAGAAGCTAGGAGGGGATACATCCAAGACAGCTGACCCAAACTAGCCAGAGAGATATATTCCATACCATATGATGTCATGCTTAGTATACAAAGGAGCTGGCCAGGAAGGAGGAGCTGCTGCTCGGGGACGGGCTGGGCATCGAGTTCTAGGCAGTAAGCTAATTGCATTGTGTATCACCTGCTTTGTATATTCTTTTATTAGTATTGTTGTCCCTATTTTCCTCTCCCTTTGCTGTTCTAGTAAACTGTCCTTATCCCAACCCATGAGTTTTACCTTTTTCTCCTCCCCATCCAACCAGGAGCAAGCGGCTGCGCGGTGTTCAGCTGCTGACTGGGGCTAAACCATGACGGTCCTTTTTGGTGCCCAACATGGGGCTCGAAGGGTTGACATAATGACAGATCCAACCAGAGCGTGTTAAAATGAATTTGTTATATGCATTTATTATATTAGTCGCTGGTCACGATGGTGTTTTGTTTGTTCACAAGGTTGTGTTATATAAATCCTTACTTGCTGTATGTATTCCCTGAGGCACTGTTTATCACCTCTGGGAGAGGGATCAGGATTCTCATTTTGCTGTACTGTGTAATATTGCCTTATGATATGGCGACATCACTCCTCATGGAGTTAAGCTGGTATTTGTATGTGGCATTGCTGTCCTGCCCATACCTTGGATGACGTGTCCCAGAATTTATTAATAATCCCACCCAATCTATGGGGAAGTTGGAGGGGAATGCTTTCTCCCACTCTTTCACCTCTTTTTCCTTCAGGCTGGCTACAGCAGCTTTTGAGAATTTTGAATATCCTTGGGGTGTTCAAGCCAGCATCCTCTTACTGCTATGTCTCCTGAACGTGTTTCAGGTCTTGTGTAGTTACAAAAAAATTGGTTTAAGAATACCATCCAGAGATCTGCCCCAAGACTGGATGGTCGTGGGTGGCATGGCATGTGGGAGAATAGCGCGGGTGTCTAGAGACCTTCTCACCTTCACCGCTTTGGAACTTCAAAACAACTACAGGGCCCTCCTAAAGTGATAGAATGTTTGAAAGGAAAATGCTGTGGCTATTCCAAGGAGGCACAACGCACTGCACTGTGCTGGGCCCTGGCCACTATCTACCAAACACTGCTCAATAGTAGGCAGCACCCTCAGGGGGAGGAGAAGGAGAACAGAGTGACAGGCACCATGGCTGCTCCAGCGCCGGCGATGGGCACTGTGACTACTCAAGCCCTGGCAACAGGCACTGCAGCTGAAACAAATAAACAACCCATGCCGGTGTCAGTTGCAGAAAAAAAAATACACAAAAATATAATACACAAAAAAAAAATACACAAAAAAACCCAGTTCACATAGTAATGGATGACGATGAACCAGGACCATTATGAGAACAGGAGGAAGAGGCAGAACCAGAGGTAATCACCCAATCCCTGTCCCTGAGCCAGCTGCGAGATATGCAAAAAGATTTCAGCCACCATCCAGGTAAGCACATCGTTACGTGACTGTTCTGATGCTGGGATAATGGGGCCAGTAGCCTGGAATCAGAGGGTAGGGAGGTCAGGCAGCTGGGATCCCTGTCTAGGGAAGGGGCGATTGACAAGGCGATTGGGAGGAAGACACAAACCCCCAGCCTCTGGAGGCGACTTCTTTCAGGCATGAGGGAAAGGTATCCTTCCAGTGAAGATGTTGTGTGTCAGCCAGGCAAGTGGACCACCATGAAGAGAGGTATCCAATACCTGAGGGAATTAGCCATGTGGGAGATGGTTTATCATGACCCACACAATGTGCAGTTACCCACAGATTCTGATGAAGTCCAGTGCAAAAAACCCATGTGGTGGAAGTTTGTATGGAGCACACCATCATTGTATGCCAACTCGCTGGCAGTAATGGACTGGAAAGGCACAGAGGCACCAACAGTGGATGAAGTGGCTGGCTGACTCTGGCAATACAAAGAAAGGCTCTATTCCTCCCTTGTCTCAGCTGTGGAGAAACTGTCCTGGAAGGTCCAGCACATCCTTAGCTACCTCAGGAGAGGGTATTTCAAGGACCTAAAAAGGTACTGATGGGCTTTTGGCATAGCTGCCTTGGAGTCGGAGGAAATTAAACAGCTGACTACTTTGCTTGGTCTCTTGGAGGACCCTTCTGTTGTGGGGTTGCTGAGGGTCAAAGAACAACAGGTGCCAATTGTTACCACAGTGGTGCACCAGCAGCAATACTGCACCAGCCAAGACCCCCTGGTTCCCACCCATGAGCTGATTCGTCAACTGGAGAGCTAGGGAGTGATCAGCAGAACTCACTCACTGTTTAACAGTCCTATATGGCCAGTGTGGAAGTCCTGTGGAGAGTGGTGGCTGACAGACTATTGTGGCCTGAATGAAGTCATGCTGTCCATGAGTGCTGCTGTGCCAGACATGCTGGAACTTCAGTATGAACTGGAGTCAAAGGCAGCCAAGTGGTACACCTCAACTGGTATCACAAATGTGTTTTTCTCCATCCCTTTGGTGGCAGAGTACAGGCCACAGTTTACTTTGACTTGGAAGACTGTCCAGTAGACCTGGAATTGACTGCCCCGGGGGTGGAAACACAGCCCCACCATTTGCCATGGACTGATCCAGACTGCACTGGAACAGGGTGAAGCTCTGGAGCACCTGCAGACCTGATGACATCTTCATATGGGGCAATACAGCAGGAGAAGTTTCTGAGAAAGGGGAAAAAATAGTCCAAACCCTTCTGAAAGATGATTTTGCTATAAAATGAAGTAAGGTCAAGGGACCTGCACAGGAGATTGAGTTTTTAGGAAATAAATGGCAAGATCAACGCCATCAGATCCCGATGGATGTGATCAACAAAATAGCAGCTATGTCTCCACCGACCAACAAAAAGGAAACACAAGCTTTCTTAGGTGTTGTGAGTTTCTGGAGAATGCACATTCCAAATTACAGTCTGATTGTAAACCCTCTTTATGAAGTGACCTGGAAGAAGAACAATTTCAAATGGAGTCCTGAGCAACAACAAGCCTTTGAACAAATTAAACAGGAGACTGTTCACACAGTAGCCCTTGGGCCAGCCCAAGTAGGACAAGATGTAAAACAAGCTCTCCATGAGCCAGCGCTGTGCAGTCGTGGCCAAGGCGGCCAATGGTATCCTGGGGTGCATTCAGAAAAGCATGGCCAGCAGGTCGAGGGAGGTTATCCTCCCCCTCTACTCTGCCCTGGTGAGGCCACATTTGGAGTCCTGTATCCAGTTCTGGGCTCCCCATTTCAAGAAAGACAGGGAATTACTGGAGAGAGTCCAGTGGAGGGTTATGAAGATGATGAGGGGACGTGAACATCTCTCGTATGAAGAAAGGCTGAGAGCGCTGGGTCTGTTTAGCCTGCAGAAGACTGAGAGGGGATCTTATCAACACTTACAAATATCTAAAGGGTGGATGTCTAGAGGAAGGGGCCAGACTCTTTTCAGTGGTGCCCAGTGACAGGACAAGGTGCAACAGGCACAAACTGGAACACAGGAAGTTCCGTCTCAATGCAAGGAAAAACTTCTTCACTGTGAGGGTGACCGAGCGAGTCTCTGTCTCTGGAGATATTCAAAACCTACTTGGATGCAATCCTGTGCCACCTGCTCTGGGTGATCCTGCTCTAGCAGGGGGGTTGGACTAGATGATCTCCAGAGGTTCCTTCCAACCCCTACCCTTCTGTGAAAAGAAAAAAACCCAAACAACCCCAGACCCATCCATGGGATTGCTTTTGCTCAAGGACCTGAGTGCACTTGGTGGGTGATGCAGAAGGATGGAGAAGTCCGATGTGTACCTCAAGGGGATTTGATTTTGGGTGAGAATAGCCAATGATTTAAATTTGATGATATTGTTATATAATACTGTATATCATCACTTCTGTAGTGGCTATATGCCTTATCAACGGTATTACAGTAAGAATCACCCAGATTAATGAGGAATGAATTTTGATGAAACCGAGCAAAGCGCAGCAATAGTGAACCAGAAGTGGCTTCAGCATGCAACAATCCAGCAACACGCACCATCTCTCCTGCCCTGAAGGACTGTTTTGACAGATGGAGCCCAAAGTTTTGGTCTAAATGACCGCAATGGTTGTTTTAGAGGGATGGCCTATAGACTAAGGGAACGATATCTGTGCGTATGTATCAAAGACAGGAAAAGTGGTAGTGATTAATTGGAATGTATTGGGAAATAGATGGTATAGAATAAAGGGTGGATACTGTCGTGGTTTCAGCTGTGGTAGAGTTAATTTTCTTCCTAGCAGACGGTTTAGTGCTGTGTTTTGGATTTAGTATGAGAATAATGTTGATAATACAGTCATGTTTTCAGTTTTTTCTACATAGTGCTTGTACTAAGTACTTTTCAGCTTCTCATGGAAGCGCCAGTGAGTAGGCTTGAGATGCACAAGAAATTGGGACAGGACAAAGCTGGGACAGCTGACCCAAACTGGCCAAAGGGATATTCCATACCATATGGTGTCATGCTCAACATATAAACTGGGGGTGGAATTGGCCAGGGGGTGGGGATCGCTGCTCAGGGACTGGCTGGGCATTGGTTGGTGAGTGGTGAGCAATTGTTTTTCATTTGCATTGCTAGTTTTTCTTGGGTTTTATTTATCTTTTTTATTTTCCTTGTCACTACAATTTATTGTTGTTGTTATATTTCAATTCTTAAACTGTTCTTATCTCAAGCCATGAGTCTTCTCACTTTTACCCTTCTGATTCTCTCCCCCATCACACTGGTGGAGGAGAGGAGTGAGTGGCTGCATGGTGCTTAGTTACCAGCTGGAGTTAAACCACAATGCTCTCTCAGTGTTACTGGACTGTTAATCTTCCCAGAAAGCAGAGATACTTGCATTAAAATGGTACTGTTCAGCAACAATATTAAAAATATAATTATTGCATGAAGAAGGAGCAGTGGAGGGAGGTCACTGGCTTGTGACCTCTACATTAGGATTTACATTATGCATTGGGATACGATGCTGATATCTCTGAGCTGGCTATGAACCCAAGTGCTGAAACCATTTAAACTGTTTTAAAACAAAAACCAAACCTAAAAACAACACACAAACTGGTAAAACCACTGTTGTGGGTTTCTGAGTAAAGGCCCACAGGTGGGGTAATCCAGTTTGGGTGCCTGGTGAACATGGCTATATTGTTCCTATGTGTGAGCTGAATTGCCTGACTTTGTGCCAAGTCCTACACTGTCCTAGTGGAGCGTGTCCCTGCCCATGGCAGGGGGGGTGGAACTAGATGATCTTTGAGGACCCTTCCAACCAAAACCATTCTATGATTCCAGTCTGTGAGGAAGGGCAGAGCCAGTTGAACTGTGCTAATGCTCTAATAACTGGGTAGGCCTAAGTGACTCTTCTGTCAGCACAAAATGGGAAAGGCTTATTCACAAATTTAGGTGCAGTTATTTTGCAGAGTGTATACAGGTGAGTGTGTTTGAAGTATAGCATTTATAATATGCTCATGGGTAAACTGGACTTTACTGCCCTCTGGTTAGAAGTGTGTCTAAGGATTATAGTATAACATTATTTTATCTAAGCCAGGTACATTTATGCTGGATTCAGCCACAGCAATATAATCTCATGTCTAACTTCTTAAAATTTTATTTTAATAGTACTTAAACACTCAACTGAGAGAGTTTTCCTTTTTTTTTCTTTTTTTTTTTTCTTTCAGCTGATGCAGCCCAACAGTTTCAGTATGCAGTGAGAGTTATTGGAAGCAACTTTGCTCCCACCGTTGAACGGGATGAATTTCTTGTTGCAGAGAAAATCAAGAAAGAACGTAAGTGCATCTTTGTTTCTTTCTTAGAAATCAGAATGGAAGTTTTTCAAGAAATTATTTGATCAGTTTATTCCTCTGAAAATGGGATAACTGTGCCTTACAGATAGTTACCTAATCTGTTATTAATGTTCACGCCCTGGAAATCTGATGTTGGAAATTCCATTAATTCCCTAGTTAGTATTCTTGAGTGACTGTTTGTATTCACAGCTCAGATTTTTCTGAATACTCTAACCCATATCTGCTTTCAGTTATGTTTTAATTCCCAAAACCTACAGAATGGCAGACTAGACTTTAAAAGGGCTCTTATTTAGAAGGTGTATATCTTGATTGCTCTAAGAAAAGCAGGTATTTAGATTGCATCATTTCTGATGCAAGAATTTTCAGGGCTGGAATACAGATAACATGAAAACAGGCAAAACTGTATGAGTAAATAGAGTGAAACAGTTAAGTATCATTAAGCTTTCTTGGGTACATTTTCCAATTTACCACAAATATGTAATTTCAGACATGACTATTATACTTCTTTCAATTTTTTAATTTATTTTTTTTTTATTAGTTGTGCGACAAAGAAGGGAAGCAGATGCTGCTTTGTTTTCAGAACTCTACAGAAAACTCAGTTCACAGGTAGCGTAATAAATGTATAAAGACTAAAGAAACTGAAAGCACACGTATGCATCCTTTTGATGTTATAGAGTTGTTTTGGAGAGTGGTCGGGTCACTAACAATATTTTTACCGAGAGGATGGTTGAATACTGGAACAGGTTGCCCAGGAAAGTTGCGGAGTCTCCATCCTTGGAGACAGTCAGAACCTGAGTGGACACGGTCATGGGCAAACTGCTGTAGACAGCCCTGCTTTGTGCAGAGGGGTTGGACTAGACAGTCTGCAGAGGTGCCTTCCAACCTCAAACATTTTGTAATTTTTGTGAAAACAAAACCAAACCAGATTTTTTTTTTTTACGATGAGCTGTGTTCTATTAATTAGAAATTAATTTGGATTTAATTGTAAATCAGAAAAGCATAAAGGTTACACTTTTAGTTTGAGTCCAGTTACACGAAGGGGCATTTCATATGAAGGAAGGAACTCTGTAAAAATAGAGGTGTTCATTTTATATGTAAAAACGATGAATTTTCTTGTTATCATTTATTTTACAGCAATGCCTTGCAAGTATATCAATTTGATTAATCTAGTGTTCAAATAGTTCTCATGCTTCTGAGTTTAAGTGCGCCAAGTCTTTAATGTTGAAGGGTAAGGGTTTGCTGACTTTGGTTCTGCTAACACCAGTGTTAATCAAAGAATACTGCATGTTGATATACTGACATAAGATGTTAGTGTATAGAAAGTCCACGATGCAGGAAGATGGATCAGGTGAAAGGGGGCAAAGATGTGAGGATAGGTGAAAAATGACTGCTGCTAATCTGTTCTGGATTCTCCATAAAATTGAGTATTTAGCACAGTAGAATATGGTAGGCAGTAAAAAATAAGATTCCCAGTTGTCATTTGCACATACCTGATTTTTGACAACAAAAATTAGTTATTGTGAAAGATGATGTTTTCTATGTAACAGAAAATTTGTCCTTATTTTGCTCTTTGTATTTAGGAGAAATTTTTTTCTCTGTTCTGCTGCTTTGTATTCATTAGTTTATATATAGATCATGGCTGAGTTTTACAGGATAATACTAAGATTTTTCAGATTACATAGAAGTGATTCTGTGGAGAGTGTTACTAGTCAGAACTTGGTTCTGCCCCTCCCCTCATCCATACTTAACTTATCCATTAGCTTGTTAGTGCTTGGAGCTAAAGTTACTGTGCAACTCTTCCTGTTTTCCTCATCCTGTGGGTTTGTATATTTGTGTTGGTTTGTACAGTGAAGCAAGTGTCACTGGTTTGCAGACACCTGTACCCATGACCTCAGCCATTGGTTTCAGCCTCTCTTTGCATGTATTATGGTGTGTGATCTTGCTCTTTTAAAACAGAGTTTCTATAATGTGTTTCTGTATCTCATGTACTGTGTTGCTGTACCATTGCATTTGGCAAGCAACATAGCTGTAATCTTTGAAACAAAATGCCTTTGCTGCTGTGTTCATATCAGTTTGATTATTCTTCCAAATGCAATACAAGCTTACATCAGCAATCTCCTCGTATTTTGCTGCCTGCTCAAATGTTTGAGGTTCTTTTAACCTTCTTTTTTTTCTGTGCTAGCATCTCATGTACACGAAATTGTATCATCTGAATACTGCCTTCTTTAAAATTTACTCTACTAATTATTATTCAATCTGCCATTAGCTTTATTCCTAATGGTGGACAATCATTTCTTTTCCCCATGAGCTTAGGGAAGGGCACAGAAGGAATACACGTTTTCTGAATCAACCAGGCTTTTTCTTCCTCCAGCAAATCTCTTGGAAGCAACTAAAGAAAGAAAAAACCTTGTGTGAATCTGTTTTAACTTCATTTCGTCCCTTACTCTAAAGAGAAAAGGAGGTCAGTGCTTATTTTGGTGGCAGCTTGCCAGTTCAGCAAACCGTGCTTCTTCAGGCACTTAGACTTATTCCATCCTGGCCAGCAGAAGAAGTGGTGATGTTGCTGCTCCTTCTTCACCAGTTGTTAATGAGTTGCTGGATTGATTAGTTATTTGCAACAGATGTGATACCTCTACTTTTTGCTTGTTGTTGAGATTTAAAGCAGAAGATAATAGACTTCTGCTCTACATAATAATATAGAATGTCTCCTTCTCATACACCAATACAGAGCTTTGGTTGGTTTGGCTAGTGGGCTCTGTCCTGAAGAAATAAATGTTCTATGGCCAAAATTCTTACCATGTAACATATACACACAAAATGCATAATTTGAAGAGAAACATGAAAAATAGAAAAAGGTGAGAATGAAAATGTATTTAAGAAAGAGAATTTCAAAGTGACCTTGAAAGTGCTTTTTGCAAGACTGATAGCACTGAATTACATTGCTTCGTAAGGGATGGAATCTCTGTTGAATCTTGGTACGACTAAATCTTTCTTTATATTCAACATTGCTTAACATTCCAGACCATAGCCTGATCTATATCGTGAGAGAACTCATACGAGTTTCTTTGACTTACTCCATTAAGTAATGTCCATTATAAGGTTCTGTGTCCCTGATCAATTCAGGTGCAAGCGTTAGTGACACAGATCTACAGAGTTCTAGAAACATATGCATATCTAAAATAAAACATTTTAATATTTGCTGTAATTCTTCAAAGTGTTCTTTTTGTAGCTTGGGCTTTAACATTATTCTGTCTTCTGCTGGTAAGCTTTCTGCTGGGATCTAAAGCTGCTGAGAGTGTTATTCTAACTGTATGTATCTGCTATTTGTCTCTTTGCTAGAGACTATATTGCATATTCCTCAAGTTTCACGTTAACAGTGTCTCTATCTTAAGCTGTTAAAATTTTGGTAGCTCTCTTAAATGGCATTTAAAGTAATAGAAATTGAAACCCTCAAACTTTTGAAGCTTCCCTGTGAAGGAGAATGAAAGAGTAAGTAGAGAAAAGACAGTTCTTTGCTTAAAATTGTACCAAGAGTTTTCCTTCTTCACCTTTAGGTTAGAATAGCATCCACATCTGAGGTGTTTTAAGTAGTGAGAGTGTGTAGGAAAGCTCGTAAAAGTTCAACTCTGTATAAACCTCTAAGTAGCTATGAATTTTAAATTGAGTGTACTCGCTGATCTCTGAGGAGGTGAGAGTTCATGATTTGAACACAGTGGAGAAAAGTCATAAAATTAGCAATACAGAGGCTGCACTGCACGTTCCCAGTTTACTCACGAATGTGGCTCTGAGTTGGTCTTACTTGGGTGGAAAACAGATTTTTTAAATTTTATTTTTTTTAAATTATCCAGCCTACTAAAATGTACACATATAAATCAATTATTATCAAGAGTTAAACTAATTTCAGTGTGTCTTCTTTTTTTTAAAGGGCATTTTGAAAAACAAATGGTCAATACTCTACCTCCTGCTTAGCCTTAGTGAAGATCCACGTAAGCAGTCTAACAAGGTAGGTGAGGAGATCTTTGTTACTTCTGAGAAACAGTAAACGTGTGTCACATTTTAGACATCATTAGGAATCACTATCCAGGCTGAACCAACACCTCAGGTTGTGTTTGTGTCTGAGGCTGAAAGGAAGAACACACTTGACACAAATATCTGCAATTTTATTCTGTGTAAATTTTTTTATACTAAGTAAATGTAAAAATATGAGCTGTTCAACATTTGTAGCTGAAGTTGTGACTTTATTAAATGGGTTTGTTTGCTTTCTGCTTGGTGGTGTAATCTCTGCTCACATTCTAATGAGTTTGAAGTGGAGTAGGGAGAGCAAAATTCCTCCTTTGGTTGCAGCTCTGCTAGTGTCAAAGTGCTTTTTACAGCTATTGCTAATGACACTTTGCAGGCAAAAATGAGCTATATTGCTAAAAGTGCTTTTGCTCACTGTAAGGGACTTGCTTTTTTTGTCATTATAATTGTAACAACAAATTTTTCTTTGCATAAATGTGGTCTTCAGTTATTTTTTTGCCTTCTTGAATATTACACTCCTGTTGCCTTAAGTCATGTCTTTAGTTAACTCACAAATCTTTTCTTTTTATTCCTCCCTTTTCATATCCTTTCCTTTTCAGGTATCAAGTTATGCCACGCTTTTTGCTCAAGCGTTGCCACGGGATGCTCACTCAACCCCTTATTACTATGCCAGGCCTCAGAGCCTTCCGTTGAATTACCAAGACCGCAGTGCTCAGTCTGCCCAGAGTTCTGGCAGCATGGGGAGCAGTGGGATCAGCAGCATCAGCCTGTATGCCCTGAATGGGCCAACGCCAACTCCACAATCACTCCTCCCAGGGTAAACTAAATTGTTACCTTACAAAGAGGTTTGGGGAAGACCAGAAATTATCTGCTGGGGTTTTTTTTTACTACTTATTTTCCTTTCCCCCATCCTCCCCGTTTGTATGCCATTGGAAATTCTACTGTACGTTCATAGAACTGAGTTCCTTAGCTGAAAAGTTCTGAATATCGAGTGCTGTCATATGACCATATGAAACTGTAAATGACTGGCCAAAGGTATCCATTCTTAAACTTAATCTTGGCTATCTGCTGAACAGCTGATATTTTACTGGATCTGCTTTTTTGGATTCTAGTGCCAAGTTCTTTTCCAGATTTCTTAGTTCTCCGAAACAATTTAACTCTTTATCTTTCTTCTGTAAACACCTTGGCTTTAGAGTCCTCAGTCAAGTGTCTTTTACGAAGCCTTCCTCAGCCAGCGTCAAATTAATAGACTTAACGTCGTCCGGTTTCAAATGTGTTACCTTTCTTGCATGGTCCAACTTTCTTTTAATCATGTTCACAGCAGGTTGGCTGTTGTACTGGAGCAGTCTTGCATCTTGAGTGGACAGGTGGTTTTGGGTGGTTTGTTTTTTTTTTAAATTTATACAAGAGTTGATTAAAAAAAAATTTAGAAGAAAAATCTTAAGACACCTACTGTTCAGCAGTGGTTTAATTGTTCATACCAAGATGAATCTACATTTGGAACTGAAACATTCAAATACCAGATAGTTCAAATTTTTTATCAGTAAAAGCTGGCCGTTGCAACTCATAAGATGATTACTTGAGTATTGACTTTAACTAAGGCAACACACAGTTAAGTGCTCAAAATCTGAGCCCTTGTGCTATTGGATATCTTGTTGTATTACCACTGCAGCTCTACAAAGCCTGACAGATGTGCTGCATAGAGTCTATGTTCTATGGAGGGAAAATGAACGTGTTCATAGTCTGTGAGGAGGAGTGGTTCGACAGTCATTCTGTAATACATACCTGGAAATGCATTGCCTCGTAAAAGTTGAGCGTGGAAAAGTGAACAGAATGTTACAAAACTTGTAAAAGTGAGAACTGTACTTATTTGCGTAGGTGTATCATCCTTGAACAAAAAAGCCTGGAAATAAAGCCTTCATCCAAGGGCAATGGGGACATCACTTTTCAAAAAACTGTGGTTAATGTCGGAAAGACTCAAGAGAATGTAATAAAAGGGGGAAAAATATCATCTTAAGGGATGCAGAAATGAGCAAAGCCCTGTTATTTTGTCCTAACAGAAGCTTCATGTGTTAAGATTTGACCAAATTCCTGAAATAAGGCTAACTTATGGAAATTTTTATTAATTTATTTCCTTTCTCATAATCAGAAAAGAGAAAGATACCATATTCTTGTCTCTTAATTCTCCTACCCCCCCAACAGTCATGAAACAAACACAAAATTGGAATAGATGCGTCTTCAGAAAGTACCACAGCTTTATTTTGAGTTGAAGATATTTTTTTTTAATGCAGTGTTTTTGAGATGACTTATACAATTCATATTATGGAACTACTAACCAGTGCTGACACAACTGGATTTTATTGTTATTAATACAGTTTACAATACAAATACTTGACTTTGTTAGTACTAGGCTTGTATGGTGTATCTTGGATGCACAAGTAGAGGATTATCTTTAAGCTAGGAACACGGGGGGAGGACTGTGCCCCACAACTGAGTGAGGAGATGGTAGATCAAGTTAGTAAGCAAAAGGTGCAGGGTGATGTGGTCAAGAAAGACCTTGAAACCAACAGAGCAGGGCAGAAGGGGGGTTCCCCCAAGTGTATGCACACAAATGAGTGCGGAGAGGACAGCCTTATAAGGGAAGCTCTCATGCCTTTCCTGGGACATAAGCACAACTTTGCTGGAGTGTCTACACACTAACACATGCAGCATGGGGAACAGATAGGAGGACTTGACACAGAGGTCTGTGTGCAGGACTAGAGCTATGATCTCACTGAGATCACAAAAACATGGTGGGATAGTTTGTGTTGCAGAGAGTGGATACAGGCTCTTCGGGAAGGACAGGCTAGGATGGCAGGTAGAGGAAATTGTGTTTACATGAGAGAGCAGCAAGAATATATGGAGCTTTGTCTAGGGACAGATGAGGTACTGGCTAAGACTTTATAGGTTAGGATTAAATGGCAAACCAGCATGGGTGATGCTGTAGTGGGCATCTGCTGTAGACTGCCTTATCAGGAAAAAGTAGATGAAGTCTTCAGACAAGTGGAAGAAGCTTTTCAGGCCTTGGTGTTCATGGAGGTATTTAATCACCACAATATCTGCTGGAGGGGGAGTGCTGCATGGCACAAGCAATCCAAAAGGTTTCTGAAGTGCACTGATGATAAATTTCTGATGCAGGTGATTGAGAAGATGATGAGGAGAGGTGCTTTGCTGGACTTTTTTTTTTTTTTTAAACAGACAAGGAAGAACTGGTTAGGAAGGCAAAGGTTGAGGGCATGCTTGGCTGCACTGATCATGAGATGGTGCAGTTCAGGATTCTGAAAGGAGGAAGCAGGGCAAAAAGCAGGATCCCATCCCTGGACTTCAGGAGAGGAGACTTGGGCCTCTTCTGGGATCTGCTTAGAAGAATCCCATGAGAGACTCCCCTGGAGAAAAGAGGGGTTCAGAAGAGAATAGAACAGTTTGAAGGGACCTAAAATGATTATCTAGTCCACCTGCCTGACCTCAGAGCTGGTTGATATTCAAGGATCACCTCCTTCAAGTTCAAAATGGTCTACCATGGCAAGCAGGAGTTCAAGCAAAGGTGGCAGGAGGCCTCCATGGAGAAACAAGTTGCTTCTGACAAAACTCAGACATGAAAAAGCGTACAGTAGATGGAAGCAGGGGAAGGTGCAGAGGGGCATCCAGGGTGCAGGGAAAGCCCAAACTCACCTAGAGTTGAAACTGTCAGGGGACATGAAGGGCAACAAGAAAGAATTCTGCAAGTACATAAGCAGTAAAGGAAGGCTAGGGAAAACATGGACCTGCTGCTTAAGGGGCAGGGGCTGTGGTGACAGATGATGTGGAAACAGCCAAGGTACTTGGTGCTTTCTTTGCCTTGGTCTGTGCTGGTAAGACCAGCCCAGGACTCTGAGACCCTTGGGAAAATCTCCACTGCTCCCAATTTTACCCCTGGCAGAGGATGATCAGGGCCTGGTATGCATTCACAAGTGCTGAGGGAGCTGGCCAGTGTCATTGTGAGGCCATTCTTGGTAATGTTTGAAACGTGGCAACTGGGGTTCCCGAGGACTGGAAGAAATCAAATCTTGCTACTTTGTTCAAGAAGGATTCAGGGAACTACAGGCTGGTTAGCCTCACCTCAACACCTGGGAAGGTGATGGAGGAGCATCTACTCACAGAAAGCGTTTCCAGGCACATGAAGGACAGGAAGGGGACTAGGACTAGTCAGCGCAGGCTTAAGAAAGGGAAGACATGGTTGATGTATTTTACAGTCTTCTATGATGAGGTGACTGACTTGGTGGACAAGGGGAGCGTAGTGAATATTGTTTCTTTCAACTTTAGTAAGACTTTTGAGACGCTCTACCTGTAACATTTGTATTGACAAACTTATTAAAATATGGACTAGGTAAGGTGACAGTAAGGTGGACTGAAAACTGACTGACCTGCTGGGCTGAAAGAATTGTAGTGAGTGACACAAAGTCCAGTTAGAGACCAGACACTAATGATGTAGCCCAGGAGCTGGATCTTGTACACCTCCATACCACCTTATGGCACAGAATGTGCCCTCACCAGTTTTGCAGGTGATACAAAACTGGGAGGAGTAGTTGATAAAGCAGATGATTCTGCTGTCATTCAGAGGGACCTCAGTAGGCTCCAGAAATATGCTGACAGGAGCCTCCTGAAGTTTAATAACTGGTGGAATAACCCCATGCACCAGTACATACTGGGGGCTGACTGCAAAGCAGCTTTGGAGAAAGGGCCCTGGGGTTCCTGGTAGACACCAAGTTGAATGTGGGTGTGCAATGTGTGGTAAAGGTGGCCAACAGCCTCCTGGGCTGCATTGGGAAGAACATCACTAGGAGGTTGAGGGAGATTAACCTTCCTTTCTGCTCAGTACTGGTGAGGACACATCTGAAATGCTGGGTCCAGTTATGGTACAAAAAAAGACATGCGCAGACTGAAGAGAGTCTGGAGAAGGAACAACACAACTAATTAAGGGGTTGGAGCATCTGACATAGAGGAGGCTGAGAGAGCTGGGACTGTTCAGCCTGGAGAAGGAAAGGCTCAGGGCCCCTTACCCATGTGACCACACCTGACCAGGGGAGTAGAGAAGACTGCACTAGACTTTTCTGAGTAGTGTCCAGGGAAAGGACAAGAGATAATTGGCAAAACTTGTAAGACTGGGAATCCCAGTTAAACATAAGGGAAAAAACTTCTGCGGTGAGGTGGGGTGTGTGTTTGGGGGCAGGGGGGATGTTGTGAAACACTGAAATGAGTTGTCCAGAGAGGTTGTGTAGTCTCCATGCTTGAAAATACTCAAAATGTGACTGGACGATGCACCAGGCAACCTTCTCTAGTTGACCCTGCTTTGAGCAAGACGGTTGGAGGAGGTGATCTCCAGAGGTCCCTTACAACCTCAACACAATCCTGGTACAATATAGAAAGGTATGTCAGTGAGGTTATTTCATGTACCTGCTTAAAAATAACAGCAGAACCTACCCTGTTCCTGACATATTCTTGGTCTGTCCTGTTCAGACTGTTCCATCTGATAGCAATTTCACTTCTCTCTTTAGTCCTGTAGTCTGTGAGCAGGGCAACCCAAATTAAATCTGTGAGCTTCATTCCTCCTGAACTTCTCATTATGCATGTTTCCATTTGTTTCTAGAGTACATTCTTCTTGAAAGGTAACAGCCTAAATTCAGTGTTGTACTCTATTTGAGGCGTTGTAAATGCTAAGCACAACAGAGTTGCTCTGTCTTGCAGGTTGTATCCTTGGTCATTAGCTACTATTGTATAACTAGTGTGTGACCATCCCATGAGTTATGATGCGGCAGTTGGGAGAGGCAAAACATTCCTTGACTTTTTTTTTACATGAACATTTGTGTTGCACTCTTGTTCCATCTCTCCCTGCAACTGCTTTCACAGCTTTGTGGAATTAGTTTATTTTTTAAAAATATGTATATATTTCCAAATGTTTACATTCAGTTGGGGGAGGAGGGAGAAATGGTCAGCAGCAAAAATCCTTTGCAAATATTTTCAACTTTATTTTTCATCATCATGATACAGAAATAGTCAGGAAGTTAACTTCTAGTCTTAACATTTTTCACATTTAAGGCTACTTTTGTGAGAACAATTGGCACGTTTGAGACAAAGGGAAATCAGAGCTTGTCTAGATGCTCCCTCCTTGATCACATCTTCAGGCACTTGATACAAACTATCCTAAACAGTAGAGTAGCAGGAAAGTGAGCTTCCTCCTCTTTCTCTATTTTCCTTTAGTTCTTTGGCATATAACTACAATTTCAAGTAATAACAAAACTTAAATATTTGTTGTTTATTATGACTTGTATTATTATTCTAGTTAACTTTTAATCCATTTCAGCATATCTACACAGTTCAGTATGAAAAAGTCAATCTCTGATATGAAATCATATCTGTCAAATTCATATCTCCTTTCCTACAGTTTGGTTGGGTTTCTTGAAAGTGTAGGCTTACAGGAAGCAATAAATTCTTGTATGTTCTGCACCCTTTTAAAAGTTTTCTTTATTCAAAAAGAAGCAACACAAAACATCCACAAAAAACAAACTCAGGCTTGGGGCATTTTTCAAAATTTGCATACCTGAAACCAGGTGATGGGTATAGAATCAAAGTTTTTAAAGAGGTTTCTTCCTTTTGTCCTTTTAGACAATCCTATCAAGCTCCAGGCGTTGGAGATTGCCTGCGTCAGCAATTAGGGTCACGTCTCGCATGGACTCTAACTGCAAGCCAGCCTTCTTTACAAAGCACTACCTCAAAAGGCTTTTCAAATGCTGTCTCCCGTGGTGTGCCAAGGTCAAGGCGAGAAGGGGATACAAGTGGTGAGCAAAGATGCGTTTGAAGATAATTTTATACAATTGTTATCTATAGCATCCATTACTTTTTAATGATTTTTGAAATAGTTTTATAGCATGTTGAAGTTTTTGAGTGTTTTGCTAGAATGTATTTAATAGAAGGATAGAAGGAAATATGCAAAACCAGTATATTTGGCCACAGTCTCTTTGGCTGGTTGTTAATTTCTTTTTGCAGTGATTGGTTTGATAATGCATTCTGGTCCTCTTAAAAGGCTGACTTCATTCAGTGTTTGTCAGAATCAGGTGATTGTTTTTGTGAGTAAAGCTCACTCTTGATGATCGGA